TGTTGCTGCCATTTAGGGAGTGAACCCGTGGATGGAAGATCTCTCTCTGCCTCTCTGTAACTCTACCTTTCAAATAAATAAATAAATAAATCTTTTTAAAAAAAGTTCTAATATCCTTTAATATATTTTGTAAAGAATCACATATCTTTAATATTTATTATTTTCGTCTACTTGAAAGGCAGAAAGAAAGCAAGAGAGTGTATGAGAGAGAGGTCTTCCATCTGCTGGTTCATTTCCCAAGGTCTTGCCACGGCCAGAGGTCAGAAGCCAGGAGGAAGGCCAGAAGGAAGCCAGGAGCCAGGAATGCTGACTGGGTCTCCCATGTGGGTGTCAGGGGCCCAAACACTTGAGTTATCAGCTGCTGCCCTCCAGGATGGCTTAGCAGGAAGCTGGATCAGAGGCATAGCAGGAACATGAACCAGCACTCTGATACAGGATTCCAGCATCCCAAATCGTGGCTTAACCTGCTGCAGCACAACACCTGTGCCAGGTTTAAAAAGTAAATAATCTAAAAGCAAGGCTAATTAGGTCTCTTTGATGGTATTATTAGTATAGGTATTAAACTCAGTCCACTTATGATACCATTTACAAAAATTAATGTAACCCAAAGTAGTAAACTAAGGGTTAATAATGTGCTTCTGAAAAACCTTCCTAAAGAGGAACCTGCCATAGCCTTTTTTAAAAATTTTTTTATTATTTTTTTGACAGGCAGAGTCAGAGAGAGAGAGAGAGAGAGAGAGAGAAAGTCTTCCTTTCCATTGGTTCATCCCCCAAATGGCCGCTACAGTCGGCGAACTGCTCCAATCCAAAGCCAGGAGCCAGGTGCTTCCTCCATGCGGGTGCAGGGCCCAAGCACTTGGGCCATCCTCCACTGCCTTCCCAGGCCACAGCAGAGAGCTGGATTGGAAGAGGAACAACCAGGACTAGAACCTGGGGTGCCGGCGCCACAGGCGGAGGATTAGCCAAGTGAGCCACGGTGCCAGCCAATGCCATAGCCTTTTACTCTCGTCTTCCTGTTTTCCATGCATGAAGTCAGTTTTGTTTTTCCCTACAGCATCTCATTCACTTCTCAAGCACCAGAAAGGAAGCAAAGATTCCAGCTGTGAGCTCCATTGTGCAAGATCACAGGGTCAGGCAAAGGCGCCACGGTTAACCAGTTAACCGCAGGTCACCTGCCTGAATTTAACTCAGAGACCCATGCACAGAAAGTGGGGCGGGGCTCGAATATACCCACAGGCCCCATCCATACAAAGCGGGAAAACTGAAGCACAAGCAGAGTTAACACCCAGCTCCGGGTTACACAGCACAACCTGTACATGCCTTGGGTTCACAGCCAGACAGTGGCGCTGTCCACGCATTCCCTGCGCAGCTAGAGTGCTCCAATGCAGTCAGCGCTGACATCTCCAGCCCCATCCAGTGCACGTCTTGAATAGTCTTTTTAAGCCTTGTCGTTTTCATACAAGTGCAATTTTACTAAATCACTCGATTCACAAAACGTGTATTTTAAAATTTTTGCATGTTTTATAACTCTTTGCTTGGTTCACATAAAATTGAGACTAGAAAATACTATAAAAACACTTCTCGGGGCTGGCATTTGGAGAAGTGGTTAAGCTGCTGCATGGCACACCCACTTTCCATGACAGTCTCAGCTCAGCTGCTGATCCAGCTTCCTACTGAGCCCTGGGAGGCAGGTGATGGCTCACGTACTTGCATCCCTGTCACCCATGTGGGAGACCCAGACTGAATTCCAAGCTCCTGAGTTTGGTGTAGCTATTGCAAGAATTAATAGATAAGAGCATTCTCTCATTCTCTCTGTGTCTCTCTGCCTTCCAAATTAACAGGTAAGTTAAATATTTCCATAGCTCTTCCCTTTGGCACATTTCCTTTCCAAAGCTAAGGGACTGAAAACCAAATTACGAGTGCGAGTGCACTGAAGATAGCCACCGAACATGGAGCAAAAGAGAGACATTCTTAAGGGATATTTCATGCAAAGTAAGGAAGAACTCAGAAAACCATGTCATCAATGTAGGTAAGGAATCCTTAGAAGTTAGGTATTGCCAAGCAACAACCAGATTGTAATACATTTTTATCAATAGACCAAGATTAGGCCACCACAGGTTTTAAGGGGGGAAAAAAAAAGCTGGCTGTACCATCTCACTTGACATTTCACCTGTTTTTGAAACGTTAAGATTTATTCATTGGGGCCAGCGCTGTGGCATAGAGGGCTAAGCTGCCACCTGCAGTGCCGGCATCCCATATGGGAGACCCAACTGCTCCACTCCCGATCCAGCTCTCTGCTATGGCCCAGGTCCTTGGGCCGGAGGAAGCTCCTGGCTCCTGGCTTCGAATCGGCACAGCTCCGGCCGTTGCAGCCAATTGGGGAGTGAACCAGCAGATGGAAGACCTCTCTCTCTTCTCTATGTAACCCTTTCAAATAATAAATAAATTCTTTAAAAAAAAATTTTATTCATTTGAAAGGCAGTTAGAGAGGCAGAAGCAGAGTAAGAGACCAGGAAAGTTCTTCCATCCACTTTTTCCTTCCCAAATAGCCACAATGGCTGGAGCCAGGCCAGACATAACCCATGAGCCAGGAATTTCCCAGTCTCCCACGTGGATGCAGGGACCCCAAGAACTTGGACCATTTTGCAATCCTTTCCCAGGCGCATTACCATGGAGCTGGAACAGAAGTGGAGCAGCTGGGACTAGAACTAGGACTTGCGGTTCTTTTGTGCATTGATAACCTGTCCTAGTGTCTGTTAAAACTCAGTTCAATCTTTATGCTCTCCAAACCCTAAATACCTGGTAACCCCTGGTTTTCCAATTTTTACCTCAACAACCCTTCTGCTCCTTATACCACCTGCTGCCAATGAGCGGGGCTTCTCCCAATGCATACCCCAGGGGAGCATGAAGAGCCCACCATGCCACCTGTTGATGTTGTTGGAATTTACTGCAATACGTAATGTTCTGGCATGTGAATAAGCCTGGCTGGAAGATCCCAACACATTCCTTGGGCCCAGTGCTGGATCGAAAACAATTGTTTCCACACTTTTCTAGGTAACACCTCTGCCTATATGCTTCCACTGCCTCAGCAACCCAGTTGAAGTGACAGGCCCTTTTAAAAATTTTGATAGAGATCTTTCATCCACTGGGTCATTAACTAGATGAGCACAATGTTCTGATACAAGTCAAGAGCTTCATCCCTGTTTCCCACGCTGGTGCAGGGGCCCAAACACTTCAACTCATTTCCACTGTTTTTTCCAGGCCATTAGCACGGAGCTAGATGAGAAGTGGAGCAGCCAGGACAAACTTGTGCCTATATGGGATGCAGGTGGTGGCTTTGCCTGCTATGCCATACTATCAGCCCAGCACCAGAACCCACATTGACAAAAGGGTCCCAAGTGGCAGCTGTACCACACAGGACCCTTTTTCTTAAGATTTGAAAGGTAGTTTTAGAGAGATAAAGACACAGAGGTCTTCCATCTGCTGCTTCACTCCCTACATGGCCACTATGGTGAGCTGAGCTGACCTGAAGCCAGGAGCCAGGGTCTCCCACCTGGGTGCAGGGAACCAAAGATTTGGGCCATTCTCCATTGCTTTCCTAGATGGATTAACAGGGAGCTAGAGCAGCAGGGACTCAAACCAACACTGGTGCTGGATGCTCCAAAGCACCAACCTCCCCCTCCTTGAGATTTCTTACAACCAGTGTAAACATGCCTCATCTCACTGTCCACACCTCCAAAGGTTTGTTACATCTGGAGCAGTTCAAGTTGTAAGACCCAAAATGAACCAAGATGAAGGAGCGTGATCACTTTCATCACAATTTAGTTGGTGCGCTGACTCAGCATGAAAATAACCTAGATGTCTGGAAAACAAAGTAGAGGCAGGTTAAGAAACCTCTGCCTTAGGAAACTGGTTACGCAATGGACCAAAAACATTTGGTGCAGTCTGGTACATACCAGATGTTCTACAGCTTTCCTCTAATGAAAAACATGCTTTTAAGGTGATACTTTAAAAGAAATGAAACAGAAAGGCAGTCATGGAGACAGGAACAGATTTCATTTACTGTTCACAGCTGGGTCAGAACACAGGAATCACAGGAAGCTATAAAAGTAGAAATGTTCCAGTCTGAACTCGAAATTACAACTGAAAGGGTGAGCAGAGAACAGAAGACTGCTAAAAATGAGGCTGAGGTAGAGTGGGGACAAAACAAATTCACCAGGGGTCATGGACTGAAGCCACTGAAAGGTCAATGACTACCAGTAGCACAATATGGACTATCTATAATCTTAATATAAAAAGCCTTGTCATTTAACACGAGCTTTGATAAAATTGTGAGTATGTACAAAACCCATACATGCCAAAATGAACAAAAGCTCAAAATTAGGTATAGGGGTCAGGACTGACAGACTAGCTTCAACTGCTTTTAACACTTATTATCTAGCTTCCAACACTGTCCCTTATTTCCCTAGCCTGAATCATGATACAATTTCCTTTGACTTCATTATGAATGGCAAATGTTTCATCTATTCCTTCCAACAAAATTGTACCAGAAGCTTAAGGTTGAGATTAAATCAAATTATGTCACCAGGGCCAGCTCTATAGCACAGCCGGTTAAAGCTCCAGCCTGCAACACCGGCATCCAATATGGGCACCAGTTTAGACTTAAATCCTAGCTGTTCCACTTCAGACCCAACTCCCTATACACCAGGTAAGGCAGAGAAGGGCCCAAAAACTTGGGCCCTGCACCCGGGTGGGAGACCCAGAAGCTGCTCTTGGCTTCAATTTTCCCCTGGTTGCCACCATTAACCTGTGGCAAGCCCATCTGCTTCACCAAGGAACACACATAGTCAGTGATTGGCTGAATAAGCTTTCACCTAGAAACCAGGAAGTCAAATGGGAAGCTGCTTTAGAGCATGCTTCCAGTAAACTTTTCCAAGTCAACGTTTGTAGACTGCTTGTTTTTTCACTCATCTTACCACCAAATAAAATGTCAGACAAGAGAATATGAACCAAATTTTTATTTGCTCATTTCTTGCATTTGAAGTATTCTTCGATGACATCCTTGGCCTGAGATTCTTTGCCGTAGTCCTTGAAAAAAAAAAAAAATTTCTTATTAACATTTACAAATCTCATTTGAAGTCCTTAGCAACTAATTATTATGAACCTTTAATTAACCATGCCTTAAAAATGCTTCTTTCTTATCACAGAAGTTTGTTGTAGCCATTTTCAGGGACCTGAAAGACTTCAATGTCTTTAAGGCTCGTAACATGGCACTACTATTGCCAGCTTTTTCTAGATTTCTGCAGAAACACAATAGGTAGTAAGCAGATTCATTGGCTGGCTTCTAAATTAAGCTTACATTTCATTTCTAAAATCCCGAGTTTTCCAAGCCATTGACAGCCATTTTTTCCTTCACATGACTCTCAATCTTATTTGAATATAAGGTTATATATGGTCAGCTGGCACAATCTTCAGCCCCAAGATAAAAACTGACTTACCTTAACCACTACGCAACTGCAACCAACCACTTTGCGGGGTTTCCCTTCTCGGTCAATTTTACAGAGGCCTACCCATTCCCCAAGTTTCTTGTTGTCATCAACCTATTGGGGGGATTTAGAAAAGAAAAATCACTATTAGCAGACAGACATTAAGCCACCGACAAGAAATGGAAGCAGAGAGGTGGCTGTAGTCAGTAGGGTGACATGGCAGTTTCCTCAAGGCAGCTCAGTAGAGGGAGCCAGTTGTCATCATTCACAGCACCATTAGCACTCAATCTTTGTTCCATATCCAACACCAAAATCAGCACTTCTTTCTGCCGGTGTAAATGCTCCTACAATGAGCTTCCCCACAGCCCACATCAGGTCCCTGTATTTACACCTGCAAAAAGGAGCCCAATTTTCAGGCAGTCATCTTGATGCAGACCAGTAACTTACCTTAATGAGGTTGATTTGGTGCTCAGCACACAGGGCCTCCACCAGCTTGACATACATAGGCTCATCGCAGTTAGATGCAAGCACACAAAGATGGGCTTGGCGCCTGAAATGGAAGAACAAAATCGCAAATTCAGGCCTACAGCAAATACTCCTGTACTTTCAAAGGTTTATCTTTGCACTCCCTACACTCAGTAATAATTCTGCAGTAGACGCATTACAGAACCCATCGTAAATCTGACACACCTGTTAACGAACCCAGTCAATTTGCTTATAAAAATCCTTGACAATCTTCAGCAAATCTCACCCCAAAAATATCAGGTTCGTACATGTCATGTATTTGTGGTCAAACAAAACCAAGACAGTTTTGTTATTTTTTTGTGAGCACGGCAGTCATGTACCTGCAGAAGATTTAAATCCACCAAACTGCATCCCAGCAGGAGTGTTTACTATGTGCTCAGCTCTTACTAAATGACAAATCCTTTACTGTATAAACATCTTATGTTCATTGAAATTATACTCAAGAATATTGTTTTGCCAACCTAACCAGCCCAATAAATATCAGAACTAGGTTAGTTACTTAACCATTCGAGATTCCACCTAGCTATCAGTTGTAGGCACAAAAGTACAAACCCAGGTACTTTTTCAACAAACAGGAGCTCAACGCTCCGGTAGTTTCATGCCGGCTCTGCTGAGCCTCCCCACGATTCCCGGTAACCTACAGGTTTGTCAGACTGCAGTGTGTCACTCAGGAAGGAGTGAAGGGGTATCCGACAATTTCAGTCATCATTCAAACACTGTAGTTCTGCTCCGCTTTAGAACCCGGCGCTCACCCCCACTACACACAGCAAGCCACGTGTTCTCGGTGGGCTATACAAGATCTGAGTTCTGATACCTTTTCCTAGGTCTCTTGTAGGACGGATGCCATTCACAACTTTTGTGCTAACTTCACGCTTTCTTCCCTTGGCTGCAGTTTTGTTCCGGCTGCAACAACCCACAGTATTGAGACTGATACACGTACTTGTCTAAGGCTTTGGCAGCTTCACGGATTCCACGGGCTAGGCCATCATGGATGAGGGCGGTCTTCAGCACCTCTTGTAGAGCAGTGTTAACGTCCATTACACCTCCAGCAGCAATGCTAAAAACACAGGACAGCAAGGTCACGAAATCTTCCCATGTACCCCGGTAGACACACCAGCGAAGCTCCGCAAGAGCGCCCTGGCGCCCAGGCAGACCCAGCCCCACGCAGCCGGCTCCCGACCCGCGCGGCCTACGTGAACCCCAACTCCCAGGCCCCCGGACTCACCCTTCCTCGGCCATGGCGGTGGGTTACGGGTGAAGCCGAATCTTGAACGCACTGCAAGGAAAACACAACTGCTTAACTCGGTTTAGAATCAGGAACCCATAATCAGCCACAGCCGCTTTCCGCCACAGCCACACGACTCGCGCTCCACACTCACCCCGGGCCTCCGCCTCCGCGCGTCTCGGCGGCGGCAGGGAAAGAGGCCGCACGCGTCCGCATGACGGTATTTAAGGGTTTGTTAAGGACCCCTGTGCGCATGTGCATTCCCTCCCACGAAAGAGGTGGCTGTGGCCGTGCCGGGCCCCGAGTGCCTCTGTTTCCGGGTTCAGGCGGTCTTCCGGAAAGAGGACTGTGCGTCTTCTGCCTCTGCCGGGCCAGTTATTGGCGCGCGCTGCAGGCACGACGCGGGCAGCCTCGCGTCGGTCCTCTCTGCCAGGGGCGTGGCCTGCGGAGGCCCAGCAAGCTCGTTGTACAGGGCGCGAGAGGAGCCAAACACGTTTCTCCGCACTAATTGCGGGATTGTTGGAGACGCCGGCGCCCTTAGAGCTCAGATTTTTTTTTTTCCTGGTGTAACTTTTTTTTTTTTGATAGTTCTTGTATTTTACTTTCTAACTCGTTTTTACCAGGTTCAATGTGACTTGTAGATACAATTCCAAGAACATAATGAGAATCCCGGTTTTAACCCTTTCCACATCACACTGATTTCTTGTCGTCTGTGTTAAACTCAGCGTTCCGGCGAGCAAACGAGTCCCTTCGCTTCTAAGTCACCCCCTGTGACTGCCTCGTTCTGGGGGTGGTCCTCGTCTTTTTCCATGACGCTATAGGCAGCGCGTTTTCGCTGCTAAAGTGGACCCGCCAGCCCGGGGGACAGTTCCGGTTCTGAGTTTAGTGCGAGAGTCGGTTCTAAAAGAAGTCGTTCTTTTGCTTCGTTTCGTTTTGAGCACTAGATTGTGCCTGGGATTCAGTGAGGCCGTAAATCTCGATTCGTTTCGTGCGTTTTAGAAGCTGCAGTGCCTGACAGCATCTGGCTCTGTAGGAATGAAAAAAAGCGCGTCTTTGAAGAACCCGGCCTAATTCCACTTAGGGCATGACGGAGTCAGGGCTAGAATTCGACCATCTCAAAGCTTTTTTTCTTTTCCTTCAGAAGAAACGTTCACTTTCAGGGGCTGGCTGCCCCCACCCTCACTTCCAGACCCCAAAGGAGAAACAGCTGAATGTAGTCAGTGTTACCGTTTTCCTTTAGCGCGCTCGCCTGAGGAATCTCCAGGGAGTCAGCAGTTATTAGGTGCTTGCTGTATGTCAGTACTGTGGATGTGGTGAGCAGGTAGTGTCAGGCCCATGCGTGCTGTGAAGGAAAACAAAAATGGGCGAGGTGATGAGGATGTTCATCGGCATGTCCATGCTGGGATTTTAGTAAACTGGCTTTTCAGATGCGCTGTTTCATTTTTAGAGTGTTGAACCTGCTTCTCTCAAGCAAATGTTTAATAAGATTTTTTTTTAATGTGAAGAGGAAGGAGGCAGCGGATATTCTTGTCTCTGAAATTTTGTGTTGAGATTAGGATTTGTCCCCATGCTTAGAATAGCTAAGGGTCACAGGGAAGTACAAAGGGGCATGAGGAGTGGGAGTGAGGAGGATGTGGCAAGGTAGCCAGACAGACCTTAGCCTTGGGACTGTATTTGAAAGGGGTTATCAAAACTAGGGATTCCAGACAGATGTGAGTGGGAGCCCAGGACGGGAGAGCATTCTACCTGGAGGAATTAGCTAAATAAGATAAAAAAAAAAAAGAGTAGTGGAGGCAAAGAAGGATGCCTCCTTTGTTTTCCTGGATGTTACCTTAAAGCAATTGTGTATTCAAGAAAGAATGTGATAAATAGTATTTCAGCATGCTTCTCATCTAAATTTAATATGCTAAGCATATTAGAAGCTTTCCTTCCAAAACAGTATTAAGGAAGAAGCAAGGATTTTCTGACATCGGAGACATAAACAGAAGAAATAATAATTGCCAAACAACATACTGATTTGGAGGGAAATGACTGAGTGCCTTTTAATTTAGTTGTTTTAGTGCTGTTTTCCCCACATACCAACCAACTCAGACTTGGTTTCTGGCATCCAAGAGCTTGTCATCTGTTCTGTTCACATACTCAAACATCATGGACGTCTGCCTTCGTACTTCACCTTGATAAACGCCTTTCCTGTCAGCCAGAAACCCTCCTCCTAATACTGCTGGTACATGATTTGGAGTTGGAGTTGTATAATCAATTCTAACCCTAAAAATAAACTTTGGGCACAGTGGGGAAATAAGAACTCTTTCATACAGCTTCTCCTTGTTCACTGTGGTTAAGATCAAATCCTCTCGGTTCTATGTTTAGCAAAGATGGAAGACAATACTAAATAGAGGCCAGAGGCTAATCACTCTTAAATCAGAAGACTAGAACATTTATATGCAAATATGAATCAAAAACATGAAAAATAAATGAATTCTAAAGTCTGCTTTGGGAACAATGATGATGAGTAACTATCTAGCATTTTTAGGTGACAGGTTTTGTGTTAAAAATTTTTTTTAAGATTTATTTATTTGAAAGGCAGAGATCCAAAGAAGGCAAGAGAGATCTTCCAACCACTAGTTCACTCCCCAAATAGCTACAACAGTCAGGGCTGGGCCAGATAAAAGCCAGCAGCCAGGAACTTCTTCCAGGTCTCCCACATGGGTGCAGTGGCCCAAGCACTTGAGCCATCTCCCAGTGCTTTCCCAGGCCATAAGCAGAGAGCTGGATTGGAAGCAGAGCAGCTGGAGCTGGAATGCCGGCACTGCAGATGGCAGCTTAACCTGCTGCGCCACAGCTCCAGCCCCAGAGAGTATATTTTCTACAATGTGTACTGTACAAGTTCTGGTTCTTTGTGTGCAATAGCATGACCTATGGCCAACATAAACAATGAAAATGAATTTATTAGAAAGATATCAATGGCTCAGGCAATACAAGGGTTTGCTGAGCAGACTAGAGAACGGTAGGAAGAGGATGATTCCAGTGTTCTTGGTTATGGAAACTCAACAAAAATATCTTAATGAAATACTATCAAACTATCTTAAGGCTGTCCCCCCAGGCTATTACATATGATTAGTTTAATGAAATGCAACAAACACTGATTACTAGGAAGTTCTGCAAGACTTGCAGATAAGAAATGTACCTCTGAAAATGGTATAAAAAATTACCTGAAGACACTGGAGAATGACCATAAGCATACAGAGCCGTGGGGTAGAAGCAGGGAAGCAACATTAGAAAGAAGGAATGGCACTGGGTATTTCTCATGTTTAAGGGTTTTAGCATCAGAGTAGCAACAAGTCCACACCATGTGGAGCAAATAGCAGAGTTCTTCAATTTTACTGCCTTGAAAACCAGAGGACTGAGTTTAGAGCAACCGTGGTGCTGTAAATGGATAGGAGGAGAATACAGGAAAGAGACAGCCAGAATTTTGTGCATTATCTCTGCCAAAATCTATGGTTGACCCCTCCGTTACACATGCATGGGGTTGGCCCCAAGCAAGAGATGTTAGGCTAAGCAAAATGTATGGACATTTCAGCTGCTTCTGTTTCCATCACTGGAGAAACAAATTACAAGTTTGAGTCAAGGCAGGTTGACTTTCTGCTAAATTTAAAAGAAAAAATAAATAGTCTTTGGAAGAATATAACAAAATCCAGAAATTATGCCATTATCATTAATGTCTGATAAAGTCCAAAGTTTTTATAAATATTAGGAAACAGAAAAAAATGACTCATACTCAAGAGAAAAGGTTGGGGCCAGCACTGTGGCGTAGCGGTAAAGCCGCTGCCTGCAGTGCTGGCATCCCATATGGGTGCCCATTCGAGGCCTAGATCCTCACCTTCTGATCCTGCTCCCTACTAATACACCTGAGAAAGCAACGGAAGATGGCCCAAGTCCTTGGGCCTCTGTACCCATGTGGGAGGCCCTGAAGAAGCTCCTGGCTTTGATCTTGCCATTGTGGCCATTTAGGGAGTGAACCAGCCGATGGAAGACCTCTCTATCCCTCTGTCCCTCTCTCAAACCTGCCTTTCAAATAAATAAAATAAATCTTTAAAAAAGAATAATAAAATGGAGCAACCAGGACATGAATCAGTGCCTGTGTTGGATGCTGGTGTTGCAGGTGGCAGCTTAACCTGCTGTATTACAACACAGGTACCCTGGGTGAGGTTTTGAACATGAATCTGGGAAGTGGAGCACAGTCCGTTGTTTATTTGATTAAGGAAGAGAGAAGAGAATACAAATGGCAAGAATCACAATAGATTATTCAATAGACATTAAAAGTTAAGAAAATACCATGAAAAATCTGTGCCAGTAGATTTGTCAATTTAGATGAAATGAGAAATTTCTTAAAAACATACAACCTAGCAGATCTGGCATAGGAAAAAAAAAAGAGAAAATCTTAATACCAGTACACTTAGTAAACAAATAATTTTCTAGCAATGACATGCCTAGAAATAAACATTCAGATCCAGGTAGTTTCACTGAGTTCTATCAGACAACTAAGCATAAAATAGCACCAATCCTAATCAGATTCATCTAGAAAAGACAGAAATTTAAGTGTAAACAATTCAGTTTTGATTGTTTGTAAACAATTCATTTTTCTATCTTTTGAAAGATATTTAGGGGCCGGTGTTATACCATAGCAGGAAAAGCTGCCACCTCAATGCCAGCATTCCATGTGGGGAGTCCAGGTTGCTCCACTTCTGATCCAGCTCCTGCTAATGGCCTGAGAAAAGCAACAGAAAATGGCCCAAGTGTTTGGGCCCCTGACACACACATAGGAGACACAGATGAAGTTCCTGGCTCCTAGCTTCACTGGCCATTCGGCCATCTGGGAAGTGAACCAGTGGTGAAGATTTCTTTCCAACCCGCTTTCTCCCTCACTCCCTCTCTAACTTTGACTTTCAATACATAAATAAGTCTTTTAAAAATAAATAAAATTGAAGATATTTAGGGATAAATTTAACACAAGGCATGTAATACTCTACAATTAAAACTGCAAAACATTTCTAGAAGAAATGAAATATCACAAAAATGGAGAGATATACCACATACATGGATTAGAAGACTGAATAGTGATTAGATATTGATTCTCTCCAAACTTGGGGGGGGGGGCAATAAAAACTCCACCAGTATTTTGTTGTTGTTTTGTTTTTTGAAAGATTTATTTATTTTGAAAATCAGAGTTACAGAAAGTGGGAGCAACAGAGAGAAAGATCTTCTATCTGCTGG